TTCCGGCAGCCTGCGCAACCGCGCCCTGGCCCTGGCCCGCAGCAAGCTGCAGCGCACCCGGCGCAACGTCCGCCAGAGCCTCTCCCAGCTGCACCAGACGGTCGACTTGGTGAGGACCAACTCCCCACCACCACCACAGCCCACAATAGACTGGGCAAGGACAGGCCACTGCTTGCATCCTGGCCCTGCCCTCCCATCCCACCCCACTGTGTCTGCAGCCCAGGTAGGGACAGACCCTCCCATCCCTCCCAGCCCCATCTCTGCACCTATTCCCCATCCACTCCCCTCCGTCTCTGCACCCTGCTCCCCACTCCAGACCCACCCATGCCCCATCCCAACCCTGTACTCTGCCAGGGCTGAGCTGCGGGCCCCCACACCCCTGGTACAGTGCTGCCCTCCCCTCTCTGCTCCAGATCGAGACCATCCAGCAGGGCATGGAGAAGCAAGAGCAGAGCAGCCAGGACAAGCTGCAGGCTATGTGGGCACACTGGTGCCGCAGGCAGGAGCCGGGCCATGAAAGCGGGCCAGGGGGCAGCCAGGAGGGGGCACCCCATGCCGTAGGAGGTGGCACCCCTGCACTGGAGGTACTGGGCCAGGCAGCTGGGCTGGACCAGCACCCCCCACCCCCTCCGGCAGGCTGCAGCAGCACTCAGCTCTGCCCTGTCCCTCGCAGGTGGAGACCCAGGCCCTGGCTATATCCCGCAACCTGACCCAGGAGCTGCAGAGCACCTACCTGAACCTGATGGCCGGTGTCCAGGGGCTGCCTGCCAGCCTGCAGGAGAAGATGCAGCAGGTGCACCAGAGCATGGCTGAGCTGCATGCCTTCTTCTCCTCCGCCACCTCCTTCCAGGACCTGTCCAGCGCCGTGCTAGCCCAGAGCCGCGAGCGCGTGGCCAAGGCCTGGGAAGCCATGGATGAGCTGGTGGAGTTCCTGGTGCAGAACCCACCGGTGACATGGCTGATGGAGTCGCTGGCTCAGGACGGGCAGCCTGGGCAGGACGAGGGGGAACGGCGGGACATCCTCCGTGTGCTCAAGGACTACGAGCCTCAGGACTGCGGGGACTGAGGCTAAGGGCAATGCCACCTGCTCCAGCTGTCCCCAGCCCTGAGGCCTGTGCTGGTGACTTATGATGGCCAGTGCCTCTCATTTCCTGGGGTCGTACTCACCTCTGGGGCTTGTCCTCAGCGCAGGCCTGTTCCCTCATTAATAAGCCACTGCTGCAGGATCCTGCTGGCCTTGTCCTTGGAGAAGAGTGCGGGTGGGAGTGGGTCTTGCCTGCAGGGAGGAGCTGGCAGCTGCAGCTGAGCGACTGGTGTCATGTAGCCACGAGCTGTTTAACATGGTGCAGCCACCGCTGAACTGCCCCGGGCAAGAGCATCAGACAGGAAAGGACAAACACCCGGCTCAGTCTCATCAAGGCCAAGTCCAGCGGGCACGTCCCGGTCCCGGCGCAGTGCAGGGGTGAGTGTGTGCGACCGTGAGATGTTAGGGGGCCATGATCTAACTCGCCCTCCTGGCCTTCAACTCAGTGCCTCTCTGCCCTGGCCCTTCAGCCAGCCCAATGCGTGTAGGGGTGCGTGCGTGCATGCGTGCGTGTATGCATGCACATGCATATACAGGAGAGCCTGGAGCTCACTGGACTACAGGTTCCCAGAAAGAAAAACAGCTACAGAAGCGAGCGCAGCCCCGAGGCTCCTGCCACATCCATCTTGGCTGCAGCCCAACTCAGCTCGAGGTCCCCTCTCCTCACCCTGCCCCGAGCACTGCAACTGGGTATCAGGTCCAAAAGCGCAGGGGGCAGGGGAAGGGGGGAGTCTCACCCTGTTTATATCACCAGGGATTTGGCCCAAACCCAGGAGACTGCAGCTCCTGGGGCAGGCAGGGGCAGGGGCAGGGGCAAGGGGAGATGGACCCATCTTGATGGCCATCTGAGGTTGACTTGATGGGCCATCGAGTCAAACTTGGGAGGCAATGGATTAATTCTTGGCTTTCCCACTGGCACTCTGTGCTCTTGGCCATGTCCCTTGTCTGTGAAATGGAGAGAAAGGGTGAAGAGCAGAAAAAGCACTGCTTGCTTGGTCCATTTAAAACCTACAAGCCCCTCCGGGAAGGCTCAGCCTGGACTTAAAAGCTTCTCCCGTCTCAGTACCAGCTGGAGCAAAAGGCAGTACCCAACACAGCCTTGCCCTTCCTGCTCAGACAACAGCTCTGCCTACTAAAGGGGGCAATTCAGGGGAGAGGGCACTGCTTCAGGGCAGCACACGCTGCTTCTCCAGCAAGGGGTGTGGCTGTGCAGACCCATCCCCAGCACCCAGCTGGCAGGACCTCTACCCCAGTGGTTCTCGGCCTGGCTGGACTCCAGCCCAGAACACGCCAGCTCTTTGCTCTCACTCATTTCTCAACAATGGAAAAATACCAGAGCCCTTCATCTGTGGCAAAGAGCTCAAAAGACAGCGACAGGCAGAGCTGTTTCCACACATTGTACCCCTGGGGAATCATCAGGTGCATCTGGGAAGCCACGTGTAGGTGGTTGCACCTTGCAGTGCTCATAGGAAAGGATTGCACGGAGCCCCGCTTGGGAATCACGGCTCTACCCCTCACCCTGTGGAGAAGAGTAGAGAACTCAAGTAACCTCCACAGAGCCCGCCCTGTGCTGGCTGCAGCTGGGCTGGTGTTCACCAAGTCAAAGGCCCCGGGCTTTTATTTAATTCTGAGAAACACAGGGCACAAGGCGGTTACAAGAGGCCCAAACCCCTGGGCTGCCACAACTGCCCCAGTCTGGCAGGGTGCTGAGCACAGCTGGGTTCCCACAGCTGGCACAGGGACAAGGCCACGCAACGCTGTGCTTGGACCGCAGGGCAAACAACAGGCTGACACATGGCCTCCTTGTCAGCTGGGCAAGTCTTTATTGTACAGGTACAAAAGCTTCAGATCCTTGCAAAAAAAAAAAAAAAAGACAGGCAGACAGACAGACAAACAGATCCAACCCTGCCGGCCGCCCCTGCTCCCCTGAGCAACAGGGACTGAGTAGCAGCTATCCCTCACCTCCGGCCCCCCTCTGCAGCCAGCGGAGTATCCCTCCTGCTGGAGGAATGAGACGCCGAGCACCAAATCAGGCGTCTCTGGCAGTCCCATAGACATCACAGGATAGGGCCGAGGGCTCCAGATTGGGGGAGTACAGGGTGCTGGCTGCTGGGATGGCTTCTGCTTACAAGGCTGGGGGAGCCTGACCTGCACAGCGCAGCCACACAAAGGGCGGTCACTAGAACCCACAATGAAAAGGATGCTCACACCATGCTGGTGCCTTCTGGTCCTTGCCAGCTGGAAGTTTTAGCCCTAGAGAGCCAGCCTGGTGCCAAGGTCTGCTCTGGGCCACACACTCCTTCTGGAAAAGGCAGGGGTCCAGGATGCGACTGTCCAAAGCCAGCTGGGAGCGGGTGGCCACGCTGGTGCCCCTGGCTGGTGGAGAGGGGCACAGACTCCAGCGCTGGGCAGGGAATTAGCCTGGGAGCCTGGTGCGATTCTCCAGCTCCCATCCCCAAGTGTGGCCACTGGGGCAGAAACCATTGGTCACCGCCT